GCCTAATCCATATGCTTGCAGCATTCTTAACTATGTTTTTGGTTTGATGCACTGAGCTCTTAACTCTGCCAGTGTTGTTCAAATATTAATAGGCAGGACATTCTACATACCAAAGGCCAATGTCATCTGTTAAATCTCTGGCATTATTTTCCCTTTTGCTTCTGTAGTCTGTTTTAGTACTTTTCTTTCTCTTGAATTTTTTTAGCTGGTCTTCCTGTTTTAAATCTTCACTGCAAACCAGTAGTGGTTTTCCATAATGAAGATTTAACCAAGTTTCCATTACTAATTTTTTCTTGGTTTAGCCTCATCAGAAAACTGCAATCTTGTTTTTAGTCCCCGAACAAATAGCTTATGTGTGTGTTTTTTATGTGAATTTATACAAAATATGAGATAATTAGAAGAAGGATTCCTGAATTAAACAGTTGACAATATTCACTTTTTGATGCAGTGGCAAAGACAAGAGGGAGAGAGGAGAGAGGAAATCAAAAAAAAGGGGAAAAAAAAAAGAGACATTAAATCAGCCCCCTTAACAGCAACAAAACTAGTAATGCTTCTATGGAAATCCCTGGCTACTAATGCCAAATATTAACTTTCTGGATGAGAATTTTAGTATTTGTTTCTGGAAGGTGCTGTGGGGCCCTCAGCTCCAGCAAGCAGACCATAAGGTCTGAAGGCTCCCAAGTGAGTTGGGGTATTTCCCTGCTGGGGCTGGTCTGGTATAGATTGGTGCTGAGATACTGATGCAGTGGGAAACAGGATCTTCACTGTTGCCTGCTTCCAGTATGTTTGAAGCATTGCACTTGAGAGTTTTCTTTCCCAAGTAAAGATTATCTGGACAAAGTACAAAATATCATCTCACCTACCCATGCAGGTTTCCCATTTAACAGCTAGTATGAAAGGTTAATAATATGCTCTAATGTGCATATTAATAACATGAAGGATGAAGTTCCCTGCTCCAAAAGTTTTGATGTATTTCCCATTCCATCTCCCTAAGTGCTCCCATGTGGTCCCCAATGCTGCCTGAGCACAGCAGTGTCCAGAGCCCTCAGCCACCAGATCATGTTATTGAGAAATGAGACAGTGCAAATTACATGTTCAGTGTTTTAATGCTCCTGTGGGGTTTTTTTGTAGGTGGAAAGAGATGAAGCATCCTGGGCTGCTGGATCAGTGAGCAATCAGCTGTCCCCCTGTCTTGATGAACTTACTCAGAACGCGTAAGAAATTGTTAGTGGCCCTGGAGAGCTAATCTGTATGAACATTAGTTATAAAAAGAGAATTGCTATTTCAGATGCCAGTTGCACCTGGTGGAGGAGTGGAAGGCCTGTTTATGGTCTTTGTGACTACAGAAGCAAGGTTAGAAGTTAAATTTAAGGTTTCTTGCATGCAAATAATAAGCATAGAGAAATAAGTGGGATATAATTTCTATATACTTTCTGTGAAGGACTTTGTTTCTGTCCATATTTTTAAATTCAATCTTCCCAGTTCTACCTTCAGAGATCACTTGAGTCTATCTGCCTGGATTCTAGCATCAAGATACAATCTGGTTCAGCTTTAACTATAGTTGTTAAGTGATGCCTAAAACAGACTTCTCTCTGCTTCTTGCTGGGTGGGGTTAGTGCTGCTGATAATTTTGGATATAGATGCCTGGAAAGTGAATGAAGAGGAAGCACTTAGGTCACTTAAACCAGTTCAGTTGGCCTTTCCTGTGAACCTCTTGGGCTGCTGCCCTTGTATTGTGTTCAGTTGCCAGAATCTTACTAACAAAGAACACAGGTATCTGTTCATGGAACGCCTCTTGAGATTATTTCTGCCCTAAGCTCTAGTTCTGTTTTCACTGTGTATAATTAACACCAGTAATTACAGCAAGGAAAAAGCCATTCAGTTCAAGGGTCTCTTCCCATGCCAGCTGGTTGGTGGTTGGAGTGTTCCTGGAGCAGGGTGGCCATGCCCTGCACCACCACTCGTGTTGGGGGAAAGCCCCAGTCCGGGTCATTGCCTTCTGCAGACATCATGTGGACATGAATGCTGTTGGTTGGAATTGCCATTACACTGGAGATGAACTCTGTAGTGCCACAGCAGCCATGGTGCTGGATTCTATTTGAAGTCTTCTCCGTGGATCAGCGATCCATGGAGAGCTGGGGTTCCATGGTATAGTAATACCATGTTTTCCATTTTCCTTGTTTCCTCCCTGCACCACATGCACATCTGCACAATTTGTATATGTAATAAAGCAGAGTGGCCGTGGGAGCCCTTTTGGTCGGTCCCTTTGATAATGTTTCTTGCCCCAGCACTTGGTCTCTCTGTCAGTTCACAGGAACCTGCTCCCTTTTCAATGGGCCTGTCATGCCTCATTCCCTTCCTCTCGTTTTTTTTTTAACAAAGCAAAACCGAGCTTTGTACCATCTGAATGAACTTCAAAGTGGCTAGAAAGGGCACCCAGGGTTCCTGGCACTTGTCATTGTCTCCCAGCCTGGCCAACATTTCCCTTCAGGTCTAATTATTTCCAAATGCTCCTAGATGCTTTGAAGAAATTTGGAGGGAGGGGGAGGCATGAAAGAAAGGTGTAAGAGGAAAAAGAAGACTCAAAGCAGAGGGAGCAGAATGCTTTACCAAAAAAGTTGATTGATTTCTTATACGACACCCAAACATAAACAGGGAATGTGTGCGGCCACTGGCAGTGGGGAATGTGAGAGCACTGTGTACAGCTGCCGCTCTAAATCCTCCCTGTGGAGACCAAGCTCTTCTGGTGCTTGACAGGCTGTAAAGGCATACCACAGCAAACCAAAAAACCATTAAAATAATGTTTAAAGTTCATTGCTTTAGTGGATTAAGTGTGGACTGAGCCTACCTTCCATAGGACTGTCTGTATCTTGGTTCAGGTGCTGTGTCAGGCTTACTCATGTCACCCAGGTCAGAGGCAGACTGTAGCTAAAGCTGCTTTGCTGAATTTATGCAGGATAAATTGGGGGGAAACCAGAAGCCATTGCTAATGATAGGTGGGGGAATACTTGTGCTGGTGTTTTTGATTCCCAGGGTTAGAATAAGCAGCAGCAGTGTGGTTGGAAGAAGTTGTTGCAGTGTGCCTTCAGATGTGCTTGTCCTTATCTTTTGAAGAGCACAGGAGACATCAAATAGTGCCAATTTGCTTAGCTGTTCTGATTCTGCCAGTTTCATAAAGAGCAGGCACTGTAACTGTCACCTGCAAGTACCTGAGGTGGGAAAATAGAAGTAGTTTAGGGATACAAGCAGCAGTATCAGTATTCCTGGGGCAATTTCATGGGTTAAGTGCAGGGATGAGGACTAGACTTCATACTGCTGACTGTGAGTTCTCTCAGGCAGTTCTGCCTGTGCTTGACCCTTGTGTGACTCAGCCACACATCGAACCCAATATAAGCACAAGAATGAAAAATCAGTACCTTTAACAGCTAGATCAGAGGTCTTATTCCTCTTCCCTATGCAAAGAAGAGTTAGTTTTAGCTGTTGCTGCTATTAAAATGCTGCTTTACTACTAATGTCCGCATCAGCAATTCTCTTGAGTCGATGCTCGTGTGTGTCAGTGCAGGGAACTGGAGCCTTTTTACAGCAGCAGCTTTGGGACCTGTGTCAGGAGGAGTCAGAGAGGAGGGAGAGATGAGGATGTGAAATCTGGAAAAGGCAAGAAAGTAGGACTGAATTCTTTAAGGGGGACAAGATGCCCTGACATTTAAAACTGCAGGCTGTTCACTAAGCTGCTTGCTACAAGGATTTCAGCCCTGCTGCAGAACAATACCTGCAGGTACCTGATGAGCTAGTTTTGTTTCAGTATCACTTCTGCTGTAATAGCTGAACTCATCCCTGGGGTTTTGGGGCATTCAAAGGTAGCATTAGTTGCATTTTTTTGCTATTGCCTTTTTTTTACCAATGGTTGTGGGGCCGAAGGCTGAACTAGGTCAGTTCCTTCATAGGGTGCGTTGTACAGCTGCACAAACAGTTGTCTTGGCTGAGTGGCAGAGGGCTGCTGGGGACTGCTTAAGCTGGTTCTGTCATCAGAACGTGTATTAAACTGCAGTTTTCAAGAGATTTCCAAGTAGCTGGTGTCCTGAGGAATGACCCTGATAGCTCCTGGCTGAAAAGAGAACAAGGACCTGCCGAGCCTCTGCCTGCCACAGCTGTCCCTGGGAACAGGATCCCTGTGATCCCACAGCAGGAGCACAGGCCCCAAGCCATGGCCCGTCAGTGGTGCTCCTGCAGGGGCCGTGCATTTCCCAACAAAGCCAGTTGGGTTGTGTGGGTCCTGCCCACATGTGTAAGGTTTCTTATTTCATAGCGCCCCCTGCTCCCCCCCCTCCCTTCCCCCCACTGCCAGAGGGGCCAGGCTGTCCCGTGATGTGGGATCCTCACACATGCTGTTTGTTATTTTGTCCTTTTTTCCTTTCCTCCTACAGAGATTTAGAGAAGAGGGTGGGTGAGGGGGAAACTCTTCAAGTCTTTGAAGCAACTTGACTTTTGATGATTAATTACAGCGAAGGGAGGGAGACGGGTTTTTAACTTACTGATGTTTGTGAGAACAAATTTATAGCAGAGGGGAAGCAGCTTCTGAGGAGAATATCAAATGGTTAAAAGGTTCCAAGTATTCTTTGATGTCACAGCTCTAGAGAAATACTGGAAGGTAGTGAGGGACAAACACTGTTTATTTATAAAATAAAGATCAGTTACCTGCTCTTGGCAAGAGCCTGTGACTGAGCTCCTGTTAACGACCTATTCATTAGACAGGCTTGGAGCTACTCGAGTTGCTGTCACAGCTGCCTGCTGAGGCAAGGAGAGCCTGAAGGCTGGATGGTATTTCCAGCCATTAAGTCTTTCCATGCATCTCTGTGAAGCAGCACCTGTTTCTCACATTAGCTGAGAAAGCAACAGCATCTTACCATGCTGTGAAATACAGGCCCCTGTTACAGGAGTAAAGCAGCAAGACAGAAACCAGTTACATACTCAGCTGAACAAAACAAGCCTACAACAGCCTCTTCTCAAAAATAGTATCTGACAGCATCATTGCCATGGACTGTATTGTGCTTGGTAAAGGAGAGGGGAAACAGAAGCAAAACAACAGAAGAAGAAAAAGTTGAAACTGTTTTTCCCAGAGCTGGACTCTGAGGCTGAGACAGATGTTTGCTGTCAGGTCAGGACCATCTGCTGGCAGGCAGTATGTGCTTCAGGAGGCCTCTAGAAATCCAGAAGCTGTAAGGAGAGAGCAGCAAGCCAGTCAGCACATAGGCCAGGTTCCTGAAACATCTCCCAGGGGGAAAAGCATTAAGCTGTTTCAGCTCACATCCTCATCCTGCTCCCGTGCAGTTCGGGCCCACAGTTACATACCAGCTGCGGCAGCACTTTCTCCAGATGCTCAATATCCACCTTCTCCAGGTCCTCCGTCTGAGCCTGCCGTGCTGCCCGTGCCGCCGCTTCTGCAGGACAAGGGAAAGCGGAGGGCAGTGAGAGGGGTATGGGAGCTGCCAGGGACGGGGGTCCCGCCCGGGGGGCCTGGCTAGTTTCCTGGGAGGGAGGTAGCCCGGAGGAGTGCGGGAAGCGGTGTCAGGGCTTCGGCTGCGCAGGAGACAGCAGAGCTGGTGCAGCGCGGGATGAGACGAAGCGCTGGATGCTCGGGGCGAAGGCTGGGGCGGGGGGGGCCCCGCCGGTCGGTAACGGGCCCACGGGGCGGCTCGGGCTGACCCCGCGCGCTCACCTCGCACGAAGACGTTCAGCATCTCGGCCATCAGCAGCTGCGCGTCCCCGCTCACTGCAACGACAAGGCGCTGACGGCAGGCGGGGGCCCGGCCAGCCGCGCCCGGGCCCTCCCGGTACCGCCCGCCGCCGCCCCGGTACCTCGTGTCCTCCCGTCCCGGAAATGGAGGCGAAGCAGCCGGTCCACGGTGTCCTGCGCGGAGAGAGGAAGGGATGAGCAGGCCCGAAACCCCCCGCCCGGGACCGAGTCCCCCCGCCCGGGACCGCCGCACCTTCCTGAAGCCTCCGGCGCGGCCCTCCCGCTCCTCCATGTCCCGCGCGCCGCCGGCCCCGCCTCCCTCAGCTGCGCGGCGGGCGGGGCGCGGCGGGGCCGCGGCCATGGAGCGGGGCCGGGGGAGCGGTTCCGGCGGGGCCGCGGCCATGGAGCGCTTCCGCCGGGAGTACGCGCGGCTGTGCGCGGCGGCGGGCGCGGCCCCGCAGGAGGCCGTGCTGCGGCGGCTGCGGGAGCCCGGCGGGGCGCGGGCCCGCCTGGACCTGACGGCGCAGAGCCTGTCGCTGCAGACTTGCGGGGCCCTGGGCCGGCTGCTGCCCGGGGCCGCGCCCTTCTCCGCGCTGGCGCTCGGCGACTGCGGCCTGAGCGAGGAAGGTGCGCGCGGGGCTCGGGTCGGGGGTGCCCCCGCCGCCCCCTCAGGCCGGGCCGGCGGAACGGGCCCGGCTCCGCGCTCTGCCGGCGGCGGGGCGGTGAAGGTGCCCGGTCTGTGACAGTGTGGGTGGTCAAGCACCCCTCGGTTCCATCCCTCTTCGAAGGCGGCTCTGCTGTTGTTGGCCGTGGACGGAAGGGACGATCCGGCTGGTTAAAGCCGCCGGCGGTGAGGGCGCTCCCGGGGCAGCACAGCTGTGGCCGCGGGGCCTCTCGTGGGCTGATCTCGGGGCCGGGTCACGCAGGTGAACAAGCTGAGGTGCCGAGCTCTGCCCAGACACCTCTTTGAGGCTGTGTAAACTGTCTCCTGCCCCAAAAACTCAGGCTCACGCTTTCCAGCAGCAGTGGTCGTTTACCAAGTCATTCATTTCTCGAAGCCACGTCTCCTGAGCTGCCTGTCTGACAGGACGATACACTCTCGGCTCGGGCAAAGGGTTCCACGAATGAAATAAACAGCTCTTTTTTTTCCCCACTCAGGTGTAAAACTTCTGTTGCACGGTCTTTGCTCCAACACCACAGTCAAATCTTTGGATCTGAAGGTGAGTCTGTTCGAATAGAATTAGGACAAAGTGGTGGACGAGGAAAAAGGAGCACAGGCTTAGTCAGAGTTAGAACTGGACAGTTCTGGTGCAGGATTGTTCAGAAAGATGCATACTTCTGTAAGGATTTTGTTCTCAAGTGACTTGTTCCTTGTGTCCTTAACAACATGTCACAACGTTCCAAAGTTACTTTGCAGATCTTATTTATCCATTTTTATTCGGTTACTCTGTTTTGATAGGAAGTTATAGCTATGTATCTTTTGTCCATTGCTGCTTGGTCAGATGAGGCATATGTAGGGGTTTCTTTGTGTCTCTGTATTGATCAGTGAGTTACTATCTGTTTGACTTGTGCTTCTGTAGAATTTGTCCAGCTGGCAATGCCTTCCAGCTAGCCTGGCCTTGGCACTGGGCATCTGCCTTCAGGTGTGATGGTCACTCTACTGAGAGTGACCTTCTGTCTGTATTCCTCTGACATACAGGTATTCCCTTGAATATACAGTCGCAAACTGTGTCACACCTTTCTTTCTCATTTGTGCTAGTGCTGACCGAGCCCTTTATAATGAAGTATATTGAAATGGTTCTGCTTATCTAGAATCACCATTTTCTGTCCCATTGTGGTCCATGATGATCCTGTGCTATCCTGTGATTTTTTGCAAGCTCTTGGTCATGGTGCCTCACAAGAGCAGAGGTGTGTATGGATCCACTGTTCCTTCAGGGCTTTTAATTTTGTGGAAAGGTGACTGATACGTGAAACAAATGGTGGTTGGACTATTTTCGTCCAACTGAAATTGGCTCTACAGCTGGGGTGCACCTGGTGGTGTTTGATGGGGTAGGCGGACTGGGACAGATGTAGCCTACTCATCACCTGGGACTTCTGTTTCAGGGAAATAACCTACGAACTGTGGGAGCCGAGGCTTTGGGGAAACTTCTTAGGCAGAACAAATCCATCCGGAGGTAAAAAAATTATGTCTACCTTTCTTTGTGTTATTCCTGTTAGATGGAGCACAACAGTTGAAAAGGGCTGAGGGTGTTTTTTATTGGGGTAGGAGGAACATCAAGTGGTACAATTTCTTGTGAGGGGTGGGAGAGGTGAAGGAGTGAGAACTGGAGGTGCCCTTTCAAGGGATGCCAGGTCGTGGCAGCATCCTGCTCTCTGAAACCAAGTCTGTTGTTGGAGCTGGGTGTTTGACTGGGTACCATGATCCACATATCATTCAAGCTTATGCAGCTGTCCATTTACTCCACAAACTCCAATCCTGTCTTATTTTCCTAGCCTAACCTTAGAGTGGAACAGCCTTGGCATGTGGGAGGAAGGCTTCTCCTTTTTCTGCCAAGGACTGGGAGCAAACAACTTTCTCCAGCAGCTGGATCTGCGCAATAACCAGATTAACCATCAAGGGGCTGGAGAGCTGGCCGTGGCACTGACACAAAATGCCAGTCTTCAGGAGCTGGGTAAGAGTTCTTTGCCCACGTACATTACGCATGCACACACGCACATATATATCTTCAGGTTCCTTGCAGGCTGCCCTGACTTCTGCCAGCTGGTTGGTGTCGTTCCCAGTTCCTGTTGGTCTGGAGTGCATTGCTGTCCTTGTGCAGGGAAAGGTCGCAACCCCATGGTCTTTGGAGAATGGCAACTGTAGTTGGAATCTCTGGATCCAAACCCGCAGCTGAAGAATTGTGTAGTTGGAGCAGAACAGCCCTTAGCAGAGGAGGGAGTGTGTTCATTCCTATCTGTAGATGCTGTTGGCACGCCTCGTGACAGACTCTGAGACTTACTTCACACTTGCTTTGTCCTTATATGGAATTTTGCTGGAATTTCCTTCAGGAGAACATGGCTTTTGTTGCGAGTTCTTTCTCATCCGGAGATTTTGGCTGTAGAAGGAAGGCTCACAAGAGGCAGACTTGCATAGATTTTGAACTGTAGTGGCTTTCTGCACTTTAAAAAAGATATATCTGCCTTTCCTGCTTTGTCTGTTACTTTCCCTCCTTCTCATTCATCTTGAAAGGGGAGACAGTGTTCACCTGTGTTTATGCTAAGACCATCTGGGATTAGTTAGCCACACTTGTAGATGTATAAAGAGCGTGGAGTTTTCTTGGGCCTTGTGTTTTTCAGCAGATGTGTGACTACCATGGTGAAAGTTTGCTTTGTGTATAGATTTGCGATGGAATAATATTGGGCTTCTGGGTGGCCGAGCTTTGCTGAACTGCCTGCACAGAAACAAGTCGCTGAAGAGGCTGGAGCTGGCAGGGAACAATGTTCCTGGTGACATCCTGAAAGCTGTGGGTAAGTATGATGTGTTGTGCAGTAATGAGTCACTAACTCCTTTCCCACTTCAGCACTTGAGAGAAATAGGGCACTTGCTGCTCCAGAAGAGAGCTATTCCTCCTTTCTTCCCTTTCTCAACAGCATTTCTACAGGAAGCCCAACATCGCTTCCTCTTGTCCTTTAGTGACAGCTGGTCAAGTTGGAAGTGTCACTCTCACTAGCAAGAGCAAAAAAATAATTTGGATTGAGTCAGAGATTACTGTGCCATGTGAATGTGGGAGAACTTGAGATTGGTTTACCTCTGAGTAGCCAAGTTTTGATGTGGCTTATGCGGGCTCTTGTTGTCCTGCCCACAGCAGAGTTGAACAGCTTTCCTATCGCTGGGGTATTGATTACCCAATACACAGTGCTCTCTTAGATCTCATCCCACCTGGTGGTGTAAGGTGAGAGGTCTCTACAAGGGCCAGCCTGAGAAGGGAAGCTGTCCTGGTGCTTCTGATAGCCAGGTGTCATCCCGAGTGCTGTTTCTTCCAGCAGTGCTTGCTGTTCTGTTGCTTTAGAAACTTGTGCATGCTCTCCTGCTCTCTGCATCAGAACAAGCCTTGGATCACAACCAAGACCGTGAGGCTATCCTGAGTGAGGCCCAGAACCAAGTGCACATCCTCAACAAGGAGGTTTTGAATCTGAAGGATGAGAAGAACAAGCAGGTCAGCAATCTTACGTGTCAGCAGTTCAAATAGGGCAGCTGGAATCCTTTGCTTTCCCTTGGAGCCCCACAGAACACTCAGTGACAGTAATATTGTGCACCTGAAGTTGCACGTGCATCTTTATGGGCAGGCACACAGCATGGTTGAGTACATTGGGTCCTTCCTCTGAGCTACATGTACCGGGAATCAAATCAAATGACAAGTATGGGGATGGACACATCCCTGCTGAACATATTCACTCTGGATTCTGCAGGAGTTGTGGTGAATTTTTTTTTACCCATATTCATACTTTTCAGTTCTTTTGCAGCTACTTTGATATTTTCCAAGTGGTATAAACCTAGAGATCTGAGTCTGTTTTCCTTCTGGCACCGCAGGGTGCAGAGTCCCTATAGCTGATAATCTCATTCAGATGTGCTAATAAATGCATCAGACCTCCAGTTTGCTTCTAATAGTAGCTTGACCTGTCTTCAGCTGTTTCTGGGAAGAGAAGCATGAGAAGTGTACCTGTTTTAAGCTGATGCAGTTCATCTTCTCCCTGAATTTTGCCCTGTTCACAGTTCTTGGATTTAATGGACACTGTAGACAAGCAGAAAGAAGAAAAAGCCAAGAGTGAGAGGTGGGTTGGATTTCTAAATGCTTTCTGTTCTTCGATGGCAGAATTGAGCCCTCTCCCATTTCCTGTGAGAAATTACCCACCTTTTTGTTTTCTTTCTTTTTTTTGTCTCCGAAATGCAGAGTGTCTGCAGCACGAGTCAGCCAACTGCAGGAAGCATTGGATGAGCAGCACTCCATCATGAATTCACTGAAAGCCAAGTATGGAGGAGGAAAACCTTCTCCTTCCCATTGTCTGTGCTGTATACACAGTACTGAGCAGAGCTGCTAAGAAGGGGGATAACCTTGTAGAGTACTGGTTTACTGTTTTGCTTAGTTCTGCAGTAATACCCAGAAATTAGGGTCAGATCATGACTTTGAGTTGGCCACATTAGATATTTAGCCAGCTTTTAAGTAAAATTACAGTGCATTGGTGTACGAGCAAGTGAATTACAGAGAGTGAAAAGGAAGAAAAGTGATTGTGCAGAGGGGATGGGGGCTTGTTCCTTGCATGGTTTACAGCCTG